ACCACTGGCCTAGGTCAGTGGTCGGCAAACTGCGGCTCACAAGCCAAATGCGGCTCTTTGGCCCTGTAAGTGTGGCTCTTCCACAAAATACCACATGCGGGCGCACATGTACAGTGCGATTGAAACTTCTCTTCTTTTTCTTGTTTTCTTTTTCTGTTGCCCATGTGCAGAAGTCGGTATTTTGTGGAAGAGCCACACTCAAGGGGCCAAAGAGCCACATGTGGCTCGCGAGCCACGGTTTGCCGACCACGGAGCTAGGCGATATCATACAAGATCTTGCCATCGCAGACTGGAGGGGGTTCTCCTGCTGGCTTGTTATGAGGGGCCGCAGGGCTGAGACCCGAGGGCGGTCTGGAGATGCTAACAGAGGCCCCTGCTGGCAGCCAGCAAGAAAATGGGGATCTCAATGCTCTGACTTGAAGGAAATGAGTTGGGCCCGCAATCGCAGGAGCTTGGAAGAGGACCGTGAGCTGAGATGAGGTCACAGCCCCGTCTGGCTGGCACCTGGGCTCAGCCTGGTGAGGCCCGGAGCAGTGGACCCCGCTAACCTGTGCCAGGATCCCTCGCCCATGAAACGGTGAGTAATCAATTCCTGTTGTTTTAAGCCACTAAGTTGGTGGCAATTTGTGACACAGCCATAGAAAACGAATACAGGCGGTCTGGCCTGGGCTCAGGAATGTTGGCATCAGAGAGGGTATGGTCAGTGCCCAGCTGGGTAGATGGACCCCACAGGGCACTGACTTCCACTGAGGCAACGGCAGAGGACATGCCACCCTGCCACTGCCGTCTTTAAGGGGCCGTGGCCACTCTCAGACATGGCTGCGTACAAGTGTCCACTGGCACCACATCACGAAAGTCGAGTGAGCAGTAGCTGTCAACATGACAAGCGCATGTGATCTGCGACCTAGTCATTTTACTTCTGGGAACTTACCCCCACATATTAGCAAACATGGGAAATGGTCCACATACAAGGTTAGACATGTGAACATGCACCTGCTCATTCATTCACTCACTCAACACGTGGATTGTTAGTAACAGGAAAACACTGGACACAGCCCACATTTCTATCAGTCGGGATATGCTGGGAGCCGGTCCATCCTTGCTGCTTGACACAGTCGCTGCAGGGAAGAAACATCTGCACAGCATATGTCTTAAGGGACCTGGCGTACATGGCATAGTGTTCTTAATATGTTTGCTCACCTTCTTGGCGCTATGTGTTTTAACCAAGGTCAAAACCTAGTGAGCGAACATGGCTACAGAACCTGGCTGGAGAACCTGGAGAACCTGGCTGCAGAACCTAGCAAGAGAACATAGACACAGAACCTGGCTGGAGATCCTGGAGAACCTGGCTGGAGAACCTAGCAAGAGAACATGGACACAGAACCTGGCTGGAGATCCTAACCAGAACTTCGCAGGAGATCCTGACCAGAACTTTGCTGAAGATCCTGACCAGCTTCGCTGGAGAGATCCTGAACAGAACTTGGCTGGAGATCCTGGCTAGGCTGCTAATCAACTGAACGCTGTCTCCGTGTCATTCCTTCTTCGCCGATTCCGTCCACACCTTTGGGAACCCCTGGACCTGCTGGGGTTGGACCCCAGCAGGGATAGTTACATACTTTGCTGGATCATGGAATATCTCATAGCTGGAACAAAAAAGCCAGGAAGCTTTGGATGTAGCAATATGGAAAGTTCTGCGATATGTTTTTTAGCGGGGAAAGCAGAGTAGAGCGCCCAGCATGTTAAAAGGAGCACAGTAGGGAGGTTCGTTCACCTTTACGTACATGTCCATTTAAAAAGTCTCTGGAAGGTTGCTGTGGCCGCTTAGTCCGGGGAAGAAGGGGCCTGGACAGATGGGGACGAGGATGAAAGGGAGACCTTT